CACACACACACACACACACACACGATATAATTAAAACACAGAGGGAAATTTTGTACTACAGATGCCTGGTTTCTTCTTAAAGATTAAAATAAAAACGTAATGCAAAGATCTAATTTACATCGAATTATTCCTGTGCAATGAAAATATTATAAAATGTTTATTCATATAATTTATAGGAAATAACAAAGGAATAGACAAAACATAATTTTATTTCTTAAGTATAATTTCTTAAATATAACAACAAAATGTATTTTATAGGTAGGAAATTTTCACTTGTAGCTATGTAATATAGTAGTCACGAACACATTTATTTGTATGCTTATGGTATATACTACATTGAATATTAATATATCATCTTCAGCCATGTTTTGTCAATAGAAATGATATATAGCCAATCGATGATTTTAATATCTAAAATAAATTATTATTATTATTTTCTCACATTTTTTTTAATATGCGTCACTAATATCGACTCTAGTGTGTACGTACATTAATTTATGTTATTACAACCATTTTTTAAATATAATTTTATAAATATATGATAGTATCATGAATGTGTGATAATTTTTGTACTCATCATCATTAAATTTATATTACAGTAATATTTGTCGCTGTAATCTCTATTCTGATTTATACATATGTCATAGTTATCGTAATCGAAATGTAATAAATATTCAACATTCTCCTCTTAATTATATCTTACTTTAACAAAAATAAACAGTAAAATAGTAAATATTGTAAATAATGAACTTTCATTTATAAAAAAAAACGATAAAAAATACGATTATTTATATTCCGAGAAAACTGCAGATGAGAATATATAGATTTTAAATGTCATTATTGCAAAAGAAAGCAGTTTATTAGGTTAGAGATTATCATTTTTATGTGATGCTCATTTTTTAGCTTTCTTAATATACTCATAAAAAAAGTCGTTTTATTTTATCAACATTAAACAAGTATTATTAAATAATGTATTTGTTAGATATAAACTATAAAAGGAATAGTATCGAAGGTATGTATATTAAATCAAATTGATTTAGTTGATGTTTATATTTATATTGGTACAATAACATTAAAAATTAATTAAAAAATAAAATTACTTAGTTAATTAAAAAAATTATACGGAGAGAGTCCATTTTAAAGGATCCACTAAAATATCTCAGAAACACTGCATTAAAACGAAAAATGTTTCAGACAATAGTTTTTTGACTTTGAGGGAGACATAAGATGGTATCATTGATTCGACCATGAGTAGCATTGTCGAGGTTAGGGATCACTTTAGATTTTTTGAATGGAACCCTTTATTTTTTAATACATATTATTGTTGCTTACTTCGAGAACTTTATAGAAAACACTATAATAAACTATTTTTTCATTAAGTGCTTCTCGAGTTATAAGGTTTGAAAATACCGTCGGCATTAGTATTATTCAAGGTGTCCGACCGACGACTGAAATCTATTAAGTTAAATGTTGTTCAGGATCATGACCTGAATAGCATCAAGATCAAGGTCATTGGAAATTGTACCCCTTATTTTCAATTTTTATGTAAAAATGAATTCTGCGTCAAAAAATTCTCCGTCAAAAAATGAAAATAAGGGATACAATTTTCAATGGCCTTGATCTTGATGCTATTCAGGTCATGATCCTGAACAACATTTAATTTAATAGATCAATCGTCGGTCGGACATCTTGAATAATGCTAATACTGACGGTACTGCAAATTTCCAGCTTTGTAACTCAAAAAGTATTTAATGAAATAGTTTAATACAGTGTTCTGAAAAGCTCTGAAGGTAAACTACGAGAATGTTTAATGAGAAATAGTCCCGCTAAACAAATTCAAAGTGACCTTGCCTTGATCTCGACAACGCCACCCAAGGTCATACCAATAGTACCATCAAGAAGACTAGAACTAAGGAGGATCAACTCGCGTAGTGGGGGTGAGTCAAAAAACGTCCGCGGCTATTCACACGATGTGCAGCGGCACTGCGCATTGTGTGAAAGTTCGATGTAAGAGCGACAAAGTGACGATTATAGAACGACAGAGCGACGACTATATAGAGCGACACAGAGGACTAATGAAGCGCAAGAGTGGGGGAAGTTATACGACGCCACTTTTTGCCTCACCCCCACTACCGCTATTGGCACGAGTTGATCTTCCTTAGTTCTAGTCTTCTTGAGTACCATCTTATGTCCTCTTCAAAGTCAAAAAACTTTTGTCTGAAACATTTTTCAACTTAACGCAGTATATTTATGCATACGCACGCGTACTCGCGCGTGTATGTGTGTGTGTAGATAGGTAAAACCAGGAAAGAACAAGGGCAATAGGAGTCAGGCGCGGGAGACGTTGCGCAAATAACACGACTATCTAGCGTAAAACTTCTTTAGTTTACTAAAGCGCTTTAGTAAAGTAAAGAAGTTTTACGCTAGATAGTCGTATTATTTGCGCAACGTCTCCCGCGCCTGGCTCCTATTGCCCTTGTTCTTTCCTGGTTTTCTGATTTATAAACAGTCTTAGTCAGGTTGATTTATTATACGTTATTGATTTTTGTCATATTTTGATACGCGTATCATCCATCCCAATCTGCATAAGAAGATAGAATCGAAAATTGTTATATAAAATGCTGTATTACAGTTCAAAATATCAGGGACAATAATTAATTTTGATTGTTAATAACTTTTGAACGAATAACGAGCGGAAGTTGAAACCTTTCGAAGGTCACTCAAGGATAATATATGCACTTATGTTAAAGTCAAGGTTAACGACGCTCGGTTCGTTATTCTAAATATCAAAAAAAATTTATTATTGAACATAAAATTCTTTATTCCAAGATATAAAACATACCACAATAATATTCGTATATATTATAAATATATCTTACTTATGTAAGCATTGTAAGTATAACTTACTTGATTCACTACAAGCTCTCCCGCTCCACAATACAGCAAAGTATTCATCAATAAGACAGTAATACTTAAAATCGAGAAACATTCTTGTGCAATAATAGCTTTATCTATTTTTCTATCAGCAATTGTCTGAAATATATACATTATAAGAATATAAAGAAATTTATGTGTACATTAAAATATTTTCTCACATTTGTTTTACTGAATCTTACAATAGTAAATAAAAATCCGTTTAGGCAAAATACGATACCAAAATGAAATACTAATACTAACATCAGTGAAGAATACATATTTTCGATATTGCCGGCAAATCTATAAGAATAACAGTATTTAAAATTGTTATAATGTTAAATCAGTAAAACTCACAGAGTAAGGAAAAAATACCGGGATCTCGAAAAATATAAGCTTCATGGAAAACTGAAGTTACTTCAAAACATGATTGTAAATTAACAATTTCTATTGTTATAGACATTCAAATAAACAAATAATTGTTTTTAGATAATTTATTAAATTGAGAAGTAAACAGAAAATACCTATTACGTTCAATTTCATACACTGAGAGAAAACAAAATAGTTCCAGCAACTATAAATTTGGTAACTTTTGCAATTGAAGTATCTGTAACTAGTTTTACAAAGTAATATAATAGAAACTAAAGTAGTGCAGAATATAGTCACGGCAACAAATTGTATGCAATATTAATTGGTAGTGAAGTAGTGACTCAACTTCATTGAGTAGTTACTTGGACTTCATGCAAATAGATATAACAATTACATTTTTCTAGTTTAGACAAAAATTTTTAAAGTGTCGTTCAGTACGAGTAGTACGGGGCTTTGTCACCAGAGGGACGTAGCGGAGTTCAGTTTTTCCTTAAGAAGGAAACCACTCGCTTACAATAAAAGGTGCAGCGTTGGTTTCAAACTTGGAAGACAAAAATAAATAAGAAATGCATACACAAATTTGTAACTATGTATTATAAAGCTTTAATAAGAACAATAAGTAAATTAAGTGAACTAAGAAAATATAGTAATATTAACCATTTA